CTGATCTCAGAAAGCAACGCAAGATCAAATTAATACATAGGATAGAGACCACCAAGGAATTGCAGGTCTCTTGGTTATATTTCAGGTTGGAAGGAAAGAATTCTAGAAGGTGGCAAAGGCAAACCACTTCAGTAATACAGCTAAAACTGCATGGATGCAGTCATCAGGAATCAAGGCAAATTTGGAAATGTCTACCCTTAATATAAAAGCATTTATCACCCCACCTTTCTTGAAGATGTCTTGCTAATGATTTTTCATGAATACGAATGTACAATGTAATCTTCCTTAGTCTACCTAACAGCCAAGGCCACTAAATTTGGTTTTCTCTAATCTGAATAATTTTCCAGCTTCTCTTGACACGTCTTGCTGTATGCATGATTGGCTTTGTTTAGCAATGGTGATGAATGGCAGGGCTGACATCTGCCCATCTCCGATTGGCTGTTTATAGCTGTTGTGGACATGTCCCCCCAAAGTGTCTGCCATGTGCCCTCCTTGGCCATTTTGATTTGTGCTGTTGGACTGACATGACACCAGGAGAGCAGTAGTATCCATGTTGTTAGAGAGGAGAAAGAAAACAGAACCTCTCTGAAGTGAACTTCCAGGAAGAATATACTTTTTTCTACATAGGTTGACAGGCAGATAGGTAGATCAGTATTGATACTTAAGGGCTCAGATAGATGTCTCTTTCACCAGCCCACATCAGGGGAACCACTGGATAGATTTCACACACACACACACACACACACAACCTCGGGCAGAAAAATCCATCAATTTTTACACTTGTCCCAAAGTACATTCATAGGAGAGTATCACTAGCCTTATAACTGAAGCAGAATGATTGGTTGTGGGGACAGAGCAAATTATGCTGGGGCAATTTTCTGCTATCTTGCAGAATGGAGGACAGCAATTAACCAATTGCCTGGATGTGCCTTATCCAGTCTCACTGCAAAGCATCTTATGATGGGAAGATTAGCCCAGCAGGGAATTCTGGGGTTTGAAGTCCATACACCTTAAAGTTGCTAAAGTTGTTGAGAAATGCTGCTCTAGTGGATGTTAGTCAGTACTCCCACAGAGGTGTGATTTTGCCTCATGCTCTGTAGTGGAAGTTAACAATATGGGACAGAAATAAATAGGAATGATTCTCTGCTTTAGCCCAGCTCACTAGCAGTTCAGCTCTTGTTCAAAAATGCCACTCTCTTCTGTCAGTCCACATTCTTCTATAGTATCATTGAATCAAATAATAAGCAGTTGGAAACAGTGCATTTTTACAAAGAAATTTTATCTTTCTACAGATGTCCAATAGTCACACTTTTGCAAAATCCACTTTCTGTACAACCCAGTCTGTTTAGTCAAGAAATAATCTACTTGTGAAAATGAAATGAAATATGCATTCTTCATTTAGATATTGGAAATATACAGTTCTTCTGAACCATGGTTTATTTGCATCTGAGTAGTCCATCTTAACTTTATTATTTGGGAAGTGATTTAAAACTATTTAGAGGTTTGTACATGGAAAGTGTTGTGATGTAATTTTAAAAATCCTAGTAAAATGAAAGCACTAAATTAAAACTAACTGGCTTGCCTCTCAATGGTGGGCACCCCGTCACTGGAGGTTTTCAAGAAAAGATTGAATAGCCATTTGTCTGGAAGGAAATAAGGTTTGCTACCTTGGGTAGAGAGGGGGTTGGACTAGAAGACCTCCAAGGTCTCTTCCAGCTGTATGATTCTATGAATATTTCTATGGATTAGGGTGTCAGATTGCATCAAATTGCAGGAGACTTAACAATATAGTTCCAATAAAGTGACAGCTAGCTCTGTATAGGCAATTGGCAGTGGATAAGGTGAGCTGGGTTTCTTGATGAACAGAAATATCTTGTTCTCCTAAGAAAGCTATGCTATCAAGCTTAACTCAATAAATCCACTAACTAACTACCCAAACAACCAGCCAGCCATCTGGGTTAATAGTAGTCATAGGAAAAAAGAAAATCCTCATATTCATGCTCAAGTACTTCCACTTACCTCAAGTAGCTCTTTGAATCCCATCCTCATTATTTTTTTATACCTACAACTTAACCCAATACATCCAAGCCCCAAAGAGAACATTGGGAAATGTAAAGAAGGGAGAAAGACTGCCATATTTGAATGATGATCAAAATTTAATAATGAAGACCAGAAAGAAAAAGGAAAAGAAAATTACGATATATTTTGTTTATTATTGCTCTCAAAGGGCTTGATAGTCAAATATACAGGCTATGTTCTATTAAACCAGAACAAAATAGTGGAAAGTATAAAATCTATTCTGACTGTTCCAATCCAAAGAAACTGATATTCTTTATGCCGTACACTGCTATTTTAAGAAAAATTCTTTCACATACTCTGCTTATTTGTTATTTTGTTTGAAAGACAAATCAAAAAGATGAGCTATCATTGTGCAGTGTTGTACACTTTAGTTTTCAAAGTGAGTGTGTTTTTTGAGACTTCAAACAACATCTACTATGGTTTTAAAACAAAGTAGGATCAGTATGTTAGGATACAAAAATAAAACAGAAGTGTGGATACATGTTTGTCCTCCCCATAACAGGCATGCACTAACCTTCCATTATCTGCCTTAAGCAGAAAGTGGACCCCTGTTTATTCTTCCTTGTAGCAATATTTTCAATGACCCTCCCTCCGATCCACCCTGTCCCATTTATTCCTGTCAAAATATCTGGTTTTTAATCTATCAGCACAGAACTCCTTATAATTGCAACACAAAACATGAGGTCTTTCTACTTGTTTTCTGTTAGAAGTATTTTCAACATCTTTGTCAGAAAGCAATTCTATACCATCTGCCCAAGGGAAAAAACTTCCAACAAGCAAGACTTATTTATCAAGCTTAAAAAAAAATTGTTTGCCTAGTCAGAAAATAGAATCATTCTTAACTATTTAAAAACAAACACAAACAGAACAATTTACTGAGTGAATAAGAGATCATGTGTGGATTCTGCTACTTCCCCCAAAATCACCTTATTCAACTTCCAGTGAAGTGAATCAGAGCTTTCAGTCCTTAGAGACAAGGTGAATATGATTCTTTGTAGGAAGGATTACTGTTTATTCTGGGCCTGGTAGTGCAAAGGGGAACGATGCAGCAAAAAGTTGTATTCTAAATATGCATGTATTCGTGCAGAAAATAAACGAATGTGCATCAGACTTTGCTGTAGTAGTTCCCACTGCTAGAGATGAGTTACAAAATCTAACTATGAAAACACTTAAAATGAGCTCCAAAAGGTAGAGAACCTTAAGTGTATTGTTAGTGTTTGAAGGTAAAATATGACATATTTACTTTTGGCTATAAAAAATAACTATTTAGTAGAATTATTAAAATAATATAAATCGGGTAAGGATCTATGTTTATGAAGAATTTTAGTTATAAAGCTGAGTCAGATTTTGTATATATGTACGTATGTATGTATGGATGAATGGATTGAACTGATGTCAAATTTCTTTCCAACACTGAAAAAAGGAAACAACCATGACCACATGCTAATAAATTAATACTTCCTTCTAAGTATTTGCAAACATCAGTCAGCACAGCTACAGATTAAGGATATCCGCTCGCAGATTCTATGAGGTTTCTTCCTGGTGGTAAACTATTTACATACAATAACCATTAAAGAGCTGCCGTATAAATCTAAATTTGGCTGGCATGCAGTCCACTTCAGCCTCATAGCTTTCCAAATGGAGGCACCGCCCATGCACTGGAATTGGATATGGATGCCACATAAAGCTATTTAGCTCCTCTGGGTACATTTCCAAGCCAGAGAGAGTAAAAAAACATTATTGTAACATTAGCATGGCAGAAAATTTGTAAAAAAGGTATAACCTTACCCCGACCTCCAACGTTTAGGTATTAAAGCAACTGTTGGTTTACATGGCAACATATATGGATAACCAGGCAACTTAGATCCTACTCCATCAACATGTTTACTTGGAAAATATCTCTTCTGATTGCAGCTTAAAATATTTCCAAGTAAGCATATATCAGGTTTGAGTCCTAGAGGTACCACCTTGTCCCCTAGTTCTCAATGTAAGATCTTTTCATAGTGCTGTGCTGGTTTTTTTTCATGTGTTTCATAACACACCATGCAGAAGAGTTTGAGCAGAAGAGACTTTTTGAAGAAACTCTCAAGACCTAGAGACTGAGCACTCTTGAGATATGTAGATTTAAATTACTGGCTCGTCATGTCACTTTTTTTTTGTTTTGTTTTCAAAGAAAGGAAAAAGCAAAGCAATATCTATATAAGCAATTGAGCCAAACATATTTCAGCTTTAATTAGGGCAACATTGAGTAGAAAGATGTGCAAAAATGAAAGAAATTAGAATTGCAAAAGGTTTTAGGAAGTTTTGGTTGAAAGGATGCATTTATCTGTTGGATGATGCTAACATCAAAATACCACTGTTTTTGTGGAAGGTAATAATTATTAAAATAAAAATACCTTTAAAATAAAATGCCTGGAAGAATGATGCAGCTTTTTTCAAGTGAAATCTTCCACAAGAAACATTTGTAAATAAACTAGACGCTGTAGTTTGCTGTATTCTACGCTGATTTGTTTTTTTTAAAAAAAAAAAATCCTAAGAACAGAAATATTATTTTAGCAAGAAGAAAAATGCAGTAGTTTCTCCTGCAAAGCAAATGTGACACTCTTAAAAGATAAAGTTATCTGAAGATGCTTGTATTTCCCTCTGTTAATTCATCTTCCTATCTGCCACAAAACAAAAACAAAAAAACCCATGAGGTTAGACCAAATTTCTCTTCAAAAACTACAAATACAAGGATCCTTGGTCAGGTAAGTAATCAGCTTTTTCCATGTCTCTTGAATCTTCCAAATTCTTCAGTCTTGGCTCAAGTATTGTTAGTTAGCAGTTAATAAGAAAAGAAGATAAGTTTTCTAAGTGTCTTTCTTTCCAATGAAGTTAATTTGATACCATTGTCTTTTATAGTCAAAAATGCATTTGTAAAATTATTTCTTTTTCTTGAATTCTTGGTTGCCATAGCTGGAGCCCTTTTCTATTTCCGTTATTCCTATCAGTCTGCGGCCTCCAAAGGATACTTTATATAGGAGGGAAAAAAGATTGCATTATTCCAGGAATAATTTCAATATTCAGTAGCAAAATTTATGTACACATACAGATACAAACATACGCCAAACATTGTAAATTGGATATTTTAAAGTACCAAAATCTTACACCAAGATAAAATCTGTAATTTTACAAAAATGAATATATACATAAGCATTGTTTAGCCATACATTCAACTTTTTGTAAAATGTATGATGTTTCTACCAGCTATTAGGAAAAGGAAAAGCAATTCTACTGCCACAAGTATATCTGAGAACAACTCTTCAAAGGAAGAAAAATGGGTCAGTAAATGGTTGAGATAGACCATTACTCAAAATTTGGGGGAGTCTTTTTTGATTCACTGGTACAGCTAAGCCTCCATGAACAAGTGCCCAGTGTTAAGCTGAATATCAAAAGGTAGAGAGGTATTGCATTGCTCATTGCAAGGAAGAGCATCTTTGAAGTTCTTAGCATGCATGAATGACTTGCAGCCAGATCAGCTTGTTGAGTGTCAGCTAAGGCAGGATAATTCAATAGGCTAAATGGTCTTGCAACCAGATCACGTTTAAATGACTACTTGTTAGGCACTGTTAAGCATCAAACATGGACTCTGCATAAATCACAGACATCAGCCATTTGTTTCTAAATTCAGTTCCTGGCTAGCCTTGGCTTCTAGCTTGTTTTAACTGTTTATTTCAGGGGGGGAAATGAAACCTCAAATACAACGATGCAAAGATGTTAAGAAATTTTATGTCTCTATAGTTCAGAATTTAAAATTTAGATTTCTTCCTCCCTCTTTTGACACTGTCAAATACTTGGCGGTTCACTTGGGGGCCAGAACTTTCCCAATTTATTACAAAATTGATAGAGGCTTGTGACTCTGTATCTTGCACTGTCATTTTCTGCAACTTCACCAAATGGTAGAATACAGGTATTCCTCAATTTACCACCAGTCGTTTAATAGCAGTTCAAAGTTATGATGGTCTTGGAAGAAGTGACTTACGAGCCATCCTCAAAGTTATGACTATGACACCACCCCTATGGTTGCATGACTGCAGTTTGGGTGCTTGGCAACCCAGCTTGTATTTACAATGGTTGCGGCATCTGACAATCACATGACCATGATTTGCAGCCTTTCCAACCAGCTTCCAATAAGCCAAGTCAATGGGAGAAACCGGAGTCCCTTAATGACTGCAATAAAATGGCACTGAAACCGGATTTGTGTGATGACCAATGTTACAACTGTGTCTAATTTATGACTGAAATTACAGTCCCAACTGTGGCCATAAGTCAAGGACTATCTGCATGTACAATCTTATATTTGAATTAAGATACATGCAAAGTAGAGACTCAACAGGACCAAGCAACTGAAACTGGGAAAAAGGAAAAAATTCTACCAACTTTGATATATGTCTACACATAGGTTAAAGATCTTTTAGTATCATTAACAGAAATAAATCTCCTGGATTTTTCCTTTCTCCTCCTAAATGATTTCATCTGTCAAATTCTATAATTAGCACACTTTTGCTTTCTTTTATTTTTTCCAGTGGAAACTTGCACCAATAAGAATTTGTAATAGTTCTAGACAGCCAGCCAGGGAATAAAAGTAAAAGGGACAAAATAGATACAAAAGTAATTTCAGTTCTAATGAATGGGTTATAAAAAAGTGTAAATGCTGGTAAGGCAATATGCAAAACACCACATTACAGTGAATTTAATCTCTTAAAATTCTGAGAGGAAGATGCTCAGGACAAAATTTGAACGATTGCTCTGAAATTAGCCTAAAATATTTTTTAAAAATATCATAAATGACTAGCTAATTTTTTTGTTAAAGCGCCAGTTCAAAGCAGAAATAACCTCAACGGGTACTATTTATTTGAATTGATTTACAATAATCATAAAACTGTGTTCATTTGATTTAAAAGAGAGACAGTCCAATGTGTAGGGTCTACTTAAAAAAACAACAAAACCTACAGCCTGAAACACCACCACCCCAACACAGTTTAGCCAAAAAAGCATTCTCTTGAAACTAAATCTCAAAAAACATGGGTAATTCTCTTGCAATAAAAGCCAAAGAATCTCATAACCATCTTAAAAATGTTATGGCTTAAATATTAATGGGATTCATAGAATCCACTCTTGATTAACCCAAGGTTTCTTCTTTTCAACAGCATAACCTGGACCATCCATTTATTATTTACACACTAGTAAAAATTAGGAAAGATTATGCTTTTCAGATCTACTGCAAATCATCCAGAAATCTGAAACTTGGTTCCAACATATTTTTTTTACTCATCCTTGCAGAAGAGAGCAAATGCCGATAAAGATGTTTATGATTTGGGGTCTGATGTGTAATGTCATTACATGGGATATATTAAAGGAGTAATTAGGGAGTAGCTTTTAACATGGATGTTCAGAATCATTTTGAACTATATATTGCAAGTCAATTTGACATAAGAAATAAAGTTAAAATAAGGGATAAAGTAGTTCTAGCAACTGCTGTGCTCTAGTGCAGTGGTTCTCAACCTGTGGGTCGGGACCCCATTTGGGGTCGATTGACCATTTCACGGGGGTCGCCAAGCAAGGCTGTCCGCCATTTTTTTTGTCTGCCTTTTGGCCGCCATTTTTCCCCTTTTCCGGCGGGTGCCTTACCTCCCTTGGGCTGGGCCAGCTGGTGGTTGGCCTGCTCCATCTCTGCCACTTGCCAGCTACGCCTCAGCGGCGCAGCGGGCGGAACCACGCATGCGCGGTGCTCCCGGGCAGGGAAAGTTGACTTACGACCAGTTGGGTAGTCCTCAACTTACGACCGGTTTAGTCCTCGACTTACGACCGGTTGGGGTCACGGTATTAAAAAGGTTGAGAACCACTGCTCTAGTGAAAAGCTTTCTTCAACCAATGTTTCAAGATAACTTGCAACTAAAACTTCCAGGATTTTAAACCAGAATACTATGGCTATGAGGCTGGGATGAATGTATAAAGGTAGCTGGGGGGGATATTAAAAGGCATTCAATATTGTCAACACCATTCTTCCCCATCCTGTCACTGAGCTGACTATACAAGTAACGTTTGGGAGAATTGGCCACTTGATAAAATGCAGACAACTGGCTACATGAACATTTTCAATTCGGTTTTTATAGCCCACTCTAGCCAATTCTATTACCTGCCCCAACAAAGCAGAGGAATGCAAGAATCAGAAGAGGGGATCCACTTGCAAAAATTCCAAAACCAAATTTGAAAAGAGGAGAGAGAAGAACAGCAGCCCAGAAGAGAAAGTTGAGGAGAGTCCATGGTCTTCTGGGAGGTTTAAATTGTTGCCCAGGAAATAAGCCTTCTTGATTATACTTCTCTTGTAAGGCATCCTTGAGGAGAGAAAGAAGTTTTTTTTTAATGTTCTAAATTACTTATACTTTCTTCCATATACCAGTATATTGGTAAATACTATAGAGTTTTTCAATTCAGAAAGAATATTGCTGGTAGAATTTTTCCCTGCAAAGTGCCAGGTATGGGGCAACTGAGGAAAAAAATAGAAAAAAAAAACTGAGCAGCATAATATATAGATTGCAGAAAAGCAGCTTTCAGGATGAGAGCTCCTTACACTTGTTGATAGAATGGCAATGACACTTCTCCAAAACGGAGAGCAAGTAAAAACAAAAGATCTCTCTCTCTCTCTCTTTCTGTCCCAAAGGTGATTTTTCAAAAGGCAACCAGGATGGGCGTGGCAACTTTGACTGACTTTGTCTGATTGGGCAGGAGGACAGAGTCAACCCATTGGTGGATTCTCCACCCATCATGCTGGAGAATGGCAAGGACACTTCTCCAAAATGGAGAGCAAGTAAAAATGAAAGATCTCTGTCTCTCTTTCTGTCCCAAAGGTGATTTTTCAAAAGGCAACTGGACTTTCTTTGTTTTTGCTCCCTCCTTCCATCCATCCATCCATCTGAATTCAATGTATAAACAAGCATTCTGCCACCAGCAGCAATCAAATGATTTCAGGAAGTCTAGACAAAGAGTATGAGAATTCAACAGAGAGGACAGGACCCATTCAAGTATGTATGATCATCATTCTCCAACACTTTTCTCCTTAAAACTGAAGATGAATGGTCCTCAAATTAGATATAGACTCAGATACTGAGGCATCGAAAAAAGAAGAAAAGAAAAACATGCAATTCCACCTTTTAAAATTTATTTTAAAGCTAACAGTAGTCATTGGGGCAAATAAGGTTAGGAACATTGTTTTAAGGAAATATGCAGATATCATAGCAGGACAATTTTATTAACCCTCTTTAACAACTTCATAAATAATCATGCAAGATCTTTATTATGGAGCTTTCGCATTGCACTTAAAGAGAAAAAACACTTGGAATACTGTTTATTCAAAAATAATCGTTCCATTAGCACACAGCTCTGCAAATTTTTAAATGCAAACAACTCATTTACCTTTTCCTGATAAAGTGTATGAAGCCACTTTGCTGCTTCTTTTTCATCCAAAGGGATATCTTCTAAAGGAAACCTCCTAGGTTATAAAAAAAAAGGTTCAATAAAGAGTTTTTATTATAGTGACAATAATTACAATAGGAAAATATTTTCAGAATTGAAAGATGTAAACATTGTTCTCTCCTTACCAGACCTCTATATCCTATAAAAATGCATTTTATGAATGTACCCTTGCATTGTAAATGGCTAGAACAGGCGACATATGAAAAATGTAGCAGTAATTCAATATAGCCATCACCTAGATTGCACTTAAGAGTATATATTATCTTTTGTCTCAGTCTTAGTCTTAAATGTTTTTGCAGGTGGGCAAAAATGCCATTCTTACACTCTTGAGCAATAACTGTCAAATCTGAAACAATGGCTTAACCTCGTAAGTTCTCATTTCAAAAATTAAAATCAGTGAATTATATTTATTGAATTGATGAAGTAATGTTTTGTATCTCCTATGCCAGGAACCTTTCTCCTCCAATTTTACTGACAATCTAAGATCAAAAGATGAAATGTCATGGCTACATGACTGAGCTCTAAGCCTCTGCTTGAAATCTTGACTTTACCATGAATTCTTGCCCAAGAGAAGCAGCAAACGAGAACAATTTGCACAACAAAGAACCTGAACAATTAAGTATCCTAGGATACAGCCCTCCCAAACCTGTTTAGGTGAACTTCCAATCATTGCATGTGTTCTTGTACTTGAAATGCTCCTGGCAGAGTGGCCCTATGGGATGAAACCGAGTTACCATTTTGCTAAATTTTCTGCACAGCCTCTGTAAGATTTTATGTATCAAATTAACCTTACAAAAATTTACTTAGGCTGCAACCCTATGCATACTTACCTGGGAATAAAACCCTCTGAACACAATGGAACTTACTACTGGGTAAACTTATATAGGATTGCACTGTTTATTCAGTTATGTAGAAGGTTGCTGAAAGGTTGTACAAGTCTGAACACAGCCATCCATTGAATATTTTGCTTGTAGAATATCCACATTGAACCTAAATGGCTACAAAAGTGGCATACATCTGTAACTATTTTCCCTTGCTGGACAATACTGATCCTACTCATATTCTCTGCATAGAGGTCGCTAATTAAACCTGTCAGTGCAAACTGTATGGTCACACCCTGCAATAAATTTGCCACTAGGGAGGGCTGATAGCAAAGATCATATAATGAACAATGTTCTTATCTGAAGCTAATCCTGAACATGGAAAAAAGCATTTGCTTTATGTAGAAATGTGAAATGTGTTTTCTGTAAAATGTATTGCATTGTTTCAAATCCCCCTAGTAGTCCAAGGCAGCACATGCAACATCTGCTAGGTGTTTTATCTCATTCAAATGAATTCAAAGACTTCACTAAGATCCTTACTGCTTTCTTAAATGGTTGCAAAGGAGTGCCTTCTACAGATTGGGAAGAGCACCGGAGAAGGCCCTCTTCCATTTTTCCAATGTTTATTTTATATGACACATTTTTTAAGTTTTGAAAGTTGTGTATCTAGTGACCATAATAAATTTTCACACTAAACCTCAAGTCAAGTGAAACAACAGAGAGTAAATTACCACATTTTAAAGAAATTGACTATCTTAGATCCCCTATATTTGCTTCTGTCCGCTAATATTCATAGGAAAACAAGTCTCTTCCAAACTAAGTCTGAAAAGCTAAAGATGGGAAAGTGTAGAGGTGTGGGGTAGCCGTTTTATTGCAATAACTGGATACAGTGACAGCTTTCAGTTGTAAACCACGGTAACACACTCACCTGACACACATATCTGCTTCATATTTCTTTCCATAAAGGATTCCTAATAAAGATGGGTTTTTGTTTTCTCTGAAGTTTAATGTTACATCATACACTGCTGAAACTAACACAAGAAAGATAACATTATTGTTTCAATATTCAAATGCCTGGAATTCAACAGATATTATTATATTAAAAGGCACACAAACATATATATTAGGACTATTATATCTATATTTCAGAATAATGGCTGCTAGTGGCTGCTAGAGTTTTAGTGGTCACACAAATTTTTGCAATCCAGCTGTGGTAGCGCTAGAATTACATCCATGGGTATACCTGAATCTGGAAGCCCACCATTCTCTAAATATAGCGTGGGTTTTTACTTGGCAGGCAGATTATGCAAAATCTTGACTGCAATCATTCCAACAAAAGGTTAGTGTTAGGGTTATAGATTCAGGGATATCTACAATGTAATAACTCACTTACTTGCTCCCGTTCTTTTACTAGGTTTGGATAATATCAAACCCACATCTGTCTACAAAAAAAGGACTGAAAGCCATGGTCTGAAGGTGATTTCAACTTTGATTTGGATGCAGACAATGCTTTAGAGCAGGGGTAGTCAACCTTGGCTCTTTTATGACTCATGGACTTCAATTGAAGTCCAAGAGTCATAAAAGAGCCAAGGTTGACTACCCCTGCTTTAGAGTAATCCTTGGCCTATCATCATTTGATCAAAATTACGACAGCACTGAAGAATGCTAGTTATTATTATTGGCCGTCAGAGTTCCAGCCCTCCATAGTGACATCCCTATAACCCCATGGTGACATGATTATGGGCATTTGGCAACTAGTTCACACTTACACTTACAATCAGTCGCAAAGTTCCACGGCCACATGATTGCCACTTGCAACTTTCCCTGCCGGCTTCCTCAGAAAGTCAATGGGAAAGCCAGCAAGGAATGCCGCAAGTTGCTGGGATAAGTTTCCCCTACCTGTGCATCTACTATGTGTGTGTGTGTATGTGTACAGTCAATAATTAGTTCATAAAATTCACCATATACCTAAAACAAACTGATTCATTGATTAATTAATTAATTAGGTGAGCTATAACTCAAACTGCAGTACATCTTACATAATATTTGATAGAATTTGGCCAGAATCACTTGAGTCCAAAAGCAAAAGTTGTAAATAAATAATCTAAATGATGGGGTAATTTAATTAAATGTGAAGTTAACAACTCACGGTTGATATTAGCATAAAAACAACTGAATAGTAAGATGTATCTGGTGGTTTCAATGTCTGCTATGGGGCCAACAGAACCAGTTCTTAAACATTTAGCAGCATCCTATAGGCCCTCCTAAGTTTGGGGATGGTAATTTGATTTAAATATGTAGCAGGTCTGAAAGGAATGTGAAGCCTATTTAAAAATAGTCTTTTGGGAGACACATCAAATGTCATTGAATATTCCTGTCTTTAAGAATGTCTGATAGCTTCTACAGTATGCTTATGCCTTAGCAAGAAAGAAACCATAGAGGTTCCAGTTTCTTATGTGTTGCTTTGGCCCCAGATAAAACCAAATCAGAAAGGACTTGGGGTGGGTGTTAGGAAGAAAAACACTTTAATACAATACTGTATGTTGAAATGTGTATTCAAACATTGCATTCTGACTTACTGACGTCAACCTGTCTTTACTTTTTAATATGAAAGACTAATATAAAATAATATAATTGTTGTCTATCAGAGAAAAGAAATGGAGTGAGTTTCTAAACCAATTTAGCTTCATGATCCACAGTGCTCCCTTAATGCTGCTGCTGGAAGAATGTAGTTAAAATTTTAACCCATCCATAGTATTTAGCCAGCCACTTATCCTATTTAACACCTTTTTCCTATGTGGTATAACATGAACTTACATCTCACATGCATGCTGCGAGTGCTAATTAGGCAATGTTTGGACTCCACTTAGAAACGTGAAGTGCTAAGTAGCGTTATTAATTTCTTTGAATAAAAAAGAAAACTAATCAAAGTATTGAGATTTATTTATATTATCAGGTTCACCATTTAAATGTTTAAATACTAAACATTGTGTCAATGCAAATATTGCATGTTGAAAAATTTAGTGGCTATCAAAACAATTATATTAAGAAACATAATATGCATATTCACAAATATTGTAAGCGAGGCCAAGGTACCTGTTCCCCTGAGACATTGGACAGCAGTCGTAAAACCTTTGGTTCTGGGCAACAAGTGATACTTGAGTTTAGGCAATCCTTTGGATTCAGCCACTTCCATACTGATACGATGCTTCGTTTCTGTAAATCGAGTTCCTTCACAGTATAATAGAAACTGTAGCAAAGAAGGGGGTGGGTGGGGGAATTTTGCATTACAGTACTGTTAAATTGTTTTATAAAAAGTTTTAGGTCATGAAGACAACTAAAATAAAGGTGGGTTTAAATCTGGGTCCAAAGTCTTTTTTGCCTTAAAATAAAGATTAGAGAACCTTCACAGCCTATAGCCTTTTGCCCTGAAAGCTTCTCCTTGGAAAATCAAACAAACATTAAATCAAAACAAACATTAAATCAAACAAACATTAAAGTTTCTCAATCTTGGCAACTTCAAGATGCATGGACTTCATGTTCCAGAATTTCCCAGCCAGCATGCTGCATGATGGCAAAGTTTTGTGCTATGGTTGTCTGATTTTTCCAGCCCAGATACAAAATCAATGTCCCAGCTGTGGTTGTTGAATTAGATGTTCTGAAGCAGGGTTCTGCTTGGGTTGCCTGGAAGCCAGAAGCCTTTCTGTGAATAGGGGCCTCATTTAGACAGGTCCCAAATAGCACAAACAATTCTCTCTATTAAAAGAAAGGACAATACAAGCTTGAACCTCTGAAAGCCATGTAGATAGTTTGGCGAAAGATGGCCCTATTGCTCTTTTTAAAGTGCTTTAACTGTATTGTACACCAATAAGCGATAGCTTGCTTCAGTTATGACTGATCTGCATATACGTTACATCTGTCTGTAAATGATTGAAGACTGAATGTAATGATATATCCCATAAAAGCTATAGATTTAATTTAATAACTTTATATATCTATGTATGACAGGAAAAACAGATTGTGTACTATATATGACCAATGTTACGTCTTTTGAAAACACATAAATTCAATACACGTGCTTATACAAAGCTGTACTTTTCACTATCCTATTAAAAGAGTTGATGTGCAGAACTTCACTTACCCACATATACTCGGGATAATCGGCTAGTCGTTTTAACCCTTCAACAACAGTGTCTCTATCTTCTTCCCATTTTCTTTTGCAAAATACGATCTCTAAGAAGTACCATGTCCAGCCAATTATGGGCAGAAACAATAGTTCTTTCTTTGCAAGAACTTTTGAACTCTAAAACACACACAAACATTGTTTGTTCATCTGAAATGTATCATGGGCAAATACAACTACTTTCAAACGTGTTCTGAAATAGCCTAAAGAATTTCTCCAAAATTATCTATTTCCTGTCCAAAGCCTGTGGTATAGGTCAGGTTGAACTGTCCCAAGAGCACCCAAAAAATTCATAACAAAGTGTAACTTGGAAATTGTGCCTCCCTAACTAAACTACATTGACTCTCTTATATTCAATTTATTTTAATTTAATTCAATAAGTTAGCACAAAATAAATACATCTAGTCTAAGAGCTTCCTACTCTTGGATTTAAAAAACAAAAACAAAATGTCAAATTCCCTAATCCCAATTCCAAAGAACAAAACCATATGTTAAGACCACTTACCCCTAACACACCAAACCGTTCTGTCATGGTCCAGCCACACAGAAAATCTATTTCAAAGTTGTGGTTGAGAATGATGATGACATGTTCTTTTCCAAACTTATCAATTGTGGCCTGGTCTGTGAATAAAGTGCATTCTGTTCCAGACCACCATTCCAGCAACATCACTAACTCTAGATCACAGGAGACACACACACACACAAAAATCAAATGTTAGTTATGACAAAGCCTATATTCTAACTTGGTCTTTGCTTGCTTAGTAGATATTAATTCTACAACTGTATTACTTACAGAGGACAGAAAAAAGCAATATGTAGTCTACAAATCCTATTAATGTGCAGACCCAGGCTCATATTTTAAAACAGCTATTTTTCTAGACTTCAGCAACGCTTGGAAATTTTAACTGAATAAAGTTGACCAAGATTTTCAATACACTTTAATCCTAAACAAGTGCATCATTTTTATTAATAGGAAGAATATCGTTTTTCAAAAGCTCTTATAACACCAGAGGCATAATGTTGCCAGCTTGCCAGCTATTAAACACAGTTAAATCCATTCTAGTTTATGCATAGGACTACACATTTACTTTATCCTTCCTTCTTTCCATTCTGCAGCAAAATTTTACTCTTATCATTTCTTACTAACACAATATAGCTTGAGGCCAAAATGAGAAGCAAAGCTGAAATACTGATTTCACTAGGACTAGGGAAAATAGTGTATTTCTCTCTCTCTCTCTCTCTCTCTCTCTCTCTCTCTCTCTCTCTCTCTCTCTCTCTCTCTCTCTCTCTCTCTCTCTCTGTGTTTGTGTGTGTGTGTGCATATGTGCGTTAGTCTATTTAATCATAACTCCTACAGTATTTTTCCATACTAAACATTGGTAATTATTGGTTGAAAATTAAATAAATGGTACATTATGTTCTATAAAAATTAGCCACCTAGCCTGAGAATGTTTTAAAAGAATACAATTAAGGTACACTGTTAATAAGTTCAACCTTTAAGCTTCTTCATTTTAATACTTTGTTTAAATATTAATATATTTAGCTTTGTCCAATCTGCTGATTGGCAAGCCTAAAACAGAATTATTTAGTTGTCTGCCTAGCAAAGCTTCTTGTTCTCAGTGCTATGGATCTCAAAAGCCATGAAACAGGATTGTATGCCTAGAGTGTAGAAGAATAGTTTCCAGATGCATTTTCTCCCAATGTTGAGTATGCAGTTTTTGATCAGTGACAAATTATTCAGTGCTACTAATAAAAATCAAAACTGACATACTTAAACTAAAAAGAGAAAGGTAATTAAAGTCCTAATCAAAGAACTTAATACAATCAGGGGCACAATGAATATTGATAAGTCTTTAGTGCTGTCTGAGCTTGTTTCATTATTTTATTACCCAATGAAACAATGAATAGCACTGATGATGTTACCTAGTTTGGGTAATGAAACATCTGCAAGAATGCAACCAAGCTCAGAAAGCACCAAGAACCCCTCATTTCAACCCTGAGCTAGAAATATTCTCCTTTATTGGTGCAATGATTATTGGATGGCAATGCTACATGACCTCAATCCAATATTAAACTGTAATATCATGCAACTTGGGAGAGGAAATGCCAAAATGTCTAAAAATTTTAAAAAGTCATAAGATTTAATTCCTTGAGCCAACTGAGATTTTTACTATTGTTTTTGCTCAAACAAGCCTACTAGCAATACTAGCTATAAAGCAAAGAGATGATACAAGTATTAATACAATTGAAGCCAGCTAACAAACATTTGAAGTCAAATGCTTCAGAACAGGAATGGAAATGCCTGCATAAATAATAATATGTTGACCCCTAAAAGCTAAGCAGTAGTTTATAGCATATCCTTTGTTTTTTTTATTTATTTATTTTGTTTTTTATATATAGAAACATCACAATTACTTTTGCTTTTCCTCTCACTGTTATTCAATTATTCTGAGAAATTATGAGAACTATGCCCATCGTGCTGGCGATTAGCAGTTCAGGAAATCCAGTTACAGAATATTACTTAATATCAGATACTCTTTTTTGCACTAAGTAGCTGCCAAAATTGCATAATCTGAAAAAATCCATTGACCTGAAGCATTTATAGTTTATATATCTGATATCAGTAAGTTAAGTGGTCTCATTTGTATTTAGCAGTGTAAAAAAAAAGTCATGGCTCTTTTTAAAATTCCAATATGTATTATAGGCTATCTTCAGAAATACTGCAAATAATAAATATGAATATAATAAAGTCTCCAGTTGGGTTTAGATCACAGGTCGGCAACCTGCAGCTCCGGAGCCGCATGCGGCTCTTTGAGCCTTCTCCTGTGGTTCCCAGCCTCCTCTGCCATTTGCAGAGAGAGACAGAGACAGAGAGAGGCACTTGCGCTTCAGTGCTTCTCTCTGTGTCTCTCTCTGTGTGTTTTTTTTTTTGTGTGTGTGTCTCTCTCTCTCTCTCTCTCTGTGTATGTGTATAAAAGAGAGTGGACTCACAGTGTTCTCCAACAAGCTGAAAAGCTTTTGGGGCGGGGCTCCTCCCTTTGCTGCGTCTCTGCAGGAAGCAGGAAGCAGAAAGGGCAGGAGAGAGCTAGCTAGCTAGCTAGCCCAGCTATGCTGACTCAGGAATTCTGGGAGTTGAAGTCCATGAGTTATAAAAGAGCCGAGGTTGCCTACCCCTGAGCTTGTTGGAGAACAGCTTGAAGCCAGCTTGCCAGGTGAGCAGAAGATTGGAGAGAGGGAGGGGGNCAATGAATATTGATAAGTCCTTAGTGCTGTCTGAGCTTGTTTCATTATTTTATTACCCAATGAAACAATGAATAGCACTGATGATGTTACCTAGTTTGGGTAATGAAACATCTGCAAGAATGCAACCAAGCTCAGAAAGCACCAAGAACCCCTCATTTCAACCCTGAGCTAGAAATATTCTCCTTTATTGGTACAATGATTATTGGATGGCAATGCTACATGACCTCAATCCAATATTAAACTGTAATATCATGCAACTTGGGAGAGGAAATGCCAAAATGTCTAAAATTTTTAAAAAGTCATAAGATTTAATTCCTTGAGCCAACTGAGATTTTTACTATTGTTTTTGCTCAAACAAGCCTACTAGCAATACTAGCTATAAAGCAAAGAGATGATACAAGTATTAATACAATTGAAGCCAGCTAACAAACATTTGAAGTCAAATGCTTCAGAACAGGAATGGAAATGCCTGCATAAATAATAATATGATGACCCCTAAAAGCTAAGCAGTAGTTTATAGCATATCTTTTGTTTTTTTTATTTATTTATTTTGTTTTTTATATATAGAAACATCACAATTACTTTTGCTTTTCCTCTCACTGTTATTCAATTATTCTGAGAAATTATGAGAACTATGCCCATCGTGCTGGCGATTAGCAGTTCAGGAAATCCAGTTACAGAATATCACTTAATATCAGATACTCTTTTTTGCACTAAGTAGCTGCCAAAATTGCATAATCTGAAAAAAATCCATTGACATGAAGCATGTATAGTTTATTTATCTGATATCAGTAAGTTAAGTGGTCTCATTTGTATTCAGCAGTGTAAAAAAAAAAGTCATGGCTCTTTTTAAAATTCCAATATGTATTATAGGCTATCTTCAGAAATACTGCAAATAATAAATATGAATAAAGTCTCCAGTTGGGTTTAGATCACAGGTCGGCAACCTGCAGCTCCGGAGCCACATGCGGCTCTTTGAGCCTTCCCCTGTGGCTCCCAGCCTCTTCTGCCATTTGCAAAGAGAGACAGAGAGAGGCACTTGCGCTTCCCTGCTTCTCTCTGTCTCTCTCTGTCTCTGTCTCTCTCTCTTTCTCTCTCTCTGTATATGTATAAAAGAGAGTGGATTCACGGTGTTCTCCGACAAGCTGAAAAGCTTTTGGGGCAGGGCTCCTCCCTTTGCTGCGTCTCTGCAGGAAGCAGGAAGGGCAGGAGAGAGCTAGCTAGCCCAGCTATGCTGACTCAGGAATTCTGAGAGTTGAAGTCTATGAGTCATAAAAGAGCCGAGGTTGTCTACCCCTAAGCTTGTTGGAGAACAGCTTGAAGCCAGCTTGCCAGGTGAGCAGAAGATTGGAGGGGGGGGAGAGGGGGGGGAGAGAAAGAGAGAGAGAGAGAGAGAGAGAGAGGGAGGGAGGGAGAGGAAAGGGAGGGAGAGAGAGGAAAGAGAGAGAGAGTGGGGGAACAGGACTGGCAGACCAAGGGCAGAAAGAGAGAGGGGGAGGGAGAGAGAGAGAGACCCTTTTGACATCTAAAATGAAGATAACACTGCATATATCCTTTTTTGCCTTTATATTATATTATATTATATTATATTATATTATATTATATTATATTATATTATATTATATTATATTATATTATATTATATTAATTATATTATATTATATTATATATATACACACACATACACACATATATATATACACACATACATATATATACATATATATACATACATATGCATACATACATACATACATACATACATACGTGTGTGTGTGTGTGTGTGTATAGATAAAAAGGATATATGCAGTGTTATCTTCATTTTAGATATCAAAAGTGTTTTGTGGCTCCCAGTATTTTGTTTTCCGTGGGAAACGGGTCCAAGTGGCTCTTTGAGTGTTTTGGGTTGCCTACCCCTGGTTTAGATGAATTATTAGACATATTAGCATTAAATAGTTAACTCATTGAGAAGAAGCCAGCACAAGTAAGGTTGGACCACAAATTCTCTTCATTAATTATATATGTAGCCAAGTGGCTTCTCTGGGAAAAAGTCAGACAAAACATCCACCCTGCTTTGCATCAGGAAGGAGCTTTACAGAGAAGTATAGCATTGACAATTGAGTCAAGAGCTGCTCAACAAGAGATGCAATTCTTGCCTCCTAAGGAAGAAAGTCTCTGAATGACTCGAACATGGCTGGCATCCCAAGGTAAGGGAAAGGTTTCAGGTTCCAAGATTACCTCATCAAATACCTATACAATGCCTGAAAGTCCTTTCTAGAGAGTTTCTTTCCAGAGACATCTAAATTAGAGAAACCTGAATGTAAACAGCTCAGTTTGAACTATGCTATGAATAAAGTATTTGTCATCCTAGACTACCATCAACTGATATCTATTTATCTCTTCACATTACTCTAAATTCAATGCTTGATAAGTCACAAGATCTGCTGTATGTCCTCAAATGATGAGACACATTAAGTAATGAGTTTTGGGCGAGAATTCCTTTAAAGGAAAAAAGCTAAACTGCTAGTATATTAGTTTCTGCAGATAAACAAATTTGAGAGTTAGACATTTTAAAAACAAAATGCTAAATAGTTGCTGCTTTTTGGAAGAGACCATGCCAAAATCTCTCTCTTTGAAATATATTGATTTAGCATCACAAAGTTAGGTGTCCTACTCATTGCAGCTTGAACTCCAGTGAATTCCATCTTGCTAGTGATCAATGACAAGATGATCTTATTTAGTCCCAAATAGACAAATTAGTCTTTGGTGCTTCATGGACAGAATCCCTATTCAAAAACCCAACAGAAGCAAAGTTTTCTGTTGGTTTCCGAGTTTCTGAGTTCTCATTAGATATATAACAAAAAACTTAGAACTGCTTTCAATCTGGCCACAACACTTGGAGACATTTTGTTTGGCTGAGTTCTGAATATGGTGTTACTTAGCTCTTTTCTTGGCCTGTCCCATTTCTAGCCTCACTTTCTTTTTTACTCATTATATTGGCATAATGGTCTCCTAGTACACAAATATTTCCAGTGGCAGATTTGACATGACTCACTTAAAGCTCTCCCCAGAAAACCTATTTTTTAGATTAGAACTGTACCTGAAGTCAATGTGGGAAGAACCAGGAGAAACTGTATCTAACATGACAATTATATTAAGAAATGTCTCCGTGCATTATTTTCTCCTCCTGTCAACACTAAAAGTTGCAGTTCACTAGCACTGTGGCGGGGCTTTGGAGTGACACCAAATACTTTTGGAGTGGCATGCAACCTTGAGATTTCAGATTGTGCATCTCAGTCTTAAAAGGATTACTCATGTTTAGTCTTCATGGTCTAACACAGTGGTTCTCAACCTTTTTAATGCCGCGACCCCAACCGGTCGTAAGTCGAGGACTAAACCGGCCGTAAGTCGAGGACTAAACCAGTCGTAAGTCGAGGACTAAACAGGTCGTAAGTTGAGGACTACCCAACCGGTCGTAAGTCAAGGACTTTCCCTGCCCAGGAGCGCCGCGCATGCGAGGTTCCGCCCCCTGCGCCGGCCGAGGCGTAGCTGGCAAGCGGCAGAGACGGAGCAGGCCGACCACCAGCTGGCCCAGCCCAAGGGAGGTAAGGCACCTGCCGGAAAAGGGGAAAAAAATGGCGGACAAAAAAAATGGCAGACAGCCTTGCTTGGTGACCCCCGTGAAATGGTCGATCGACCCCAAATGGGGTCCCGACCCACAGGTTGAGAACCACTGGTCTAACATGAAGCTCTAAATCCTTCTTTTCATCCCTTGTATCTAAAATCCTTTAACTAGAGATGCCATTACTTGAACCTCTTGCTGTGTATTAAACATAGAAAGTAAATTTTATTTATTTATTGTAGAGAGAGTATATGCCACACATCTTGCTATCAAACATTTCTTGGGCAGCTTATAACAAGATTACACTACAAAATTACTCTTTTGTCTCTTCTGAAATGAGGTATAAGTAATAACTTTTTATACTCTAAGCAAAGCACTTTTTCCACCTGTCCTGTCTCACTAGAGTGGGTATTTAGTTAATTTAATTGCAGTATTATTTTTTTCTTGCAAGTTCTACCACACATAGCCATGCTAACTAATAATCTGAAATACATTTTTTTCATTTCCTTAAATTATTGATAGCAGGATTATCTTAAACATAGAAATATTCTGAGCTCCATAGTAATCAAAAGAAGTGTATAAAAAAAGAGATGAAGAGCAGACCCTTATACATTTTCATGAACAAGAGTAATGCACTAAGAATAATATGCTCAATCATATCCAAATGGAAATAGGAAGGAACTTTAAAGTTACAGACTATGTTTTGAGTTATAAACTAATTTAAACCAATCTTATTGATTTTCAATATTTTGTGTGTGTGACATTCATTGTCTATTAGGAAACAACTAATTTATGTTGGAACTATTAATTTCTTCTTTTCCAGTAAATATTTCTAGAAGTGACACTTTGCATGTCTAACAGACCTGATTTATTAATCGTCGCTGGAAATGTTAACTTTTTATGTCATTGTCAAGTTTTTATTCTGAAAACAAATCTGACTTTATTGAAATTAAATCCTTAGTATTTAAATCTAAGATATATATCCCCCTGCAGTTATCCTTCCCTTCATTAAAGCATTGCTTTAACTGATATTTCTCAAAAGTATTATGATTGCCTTCTTTTAAAATTTGAGATGAAATTTGAGATGAAATGGTTCCTACTTCAGTGAGATATCCTGTAGGATATTTCCTTAATGCCTTTTCTCTATTTATCTGGGAGTTTGGATCTAAAGGAGAAACCTGTACCTTAACTAACACCTGATAGCATATAGTGAGGTCACCATTAATTACCCCTACATCTTAATGAACATCTGTAACAAATAATTAATCACTTTAATTTGCAATTCAGATACACAAAGTAGATTTGCCATTTAAAAAGTGAATAACAGGTTAGAGTTCTTGAGATTTATCATAATTGTTTCAGCCTCACTTATTTACATTTGAAGATACAACTAATACACTTACACAAACTCCTTCTATTTATACAAAGTTGCAGTCTGTTCTACATTTTTCAGAATAAGGTCTGGGTGATCAGAACCTTTTAAGCTAGCACAGCAGTACAAATATATTGCATAAAGATCCGAGATAGGCACCAAGGGTTTCAAGGTTGAGGGACAAGTGCTGTTACAATTAAATTGTTTCTTGAGTAGTTAGTAAAATATATTCTAATTAAATATATTACAATTCAACAGCAGTTTTGTTTTCCGCATGTTGAAAAAGTGTTGCAAAAAAGTTCTTTTTTCTCAACATTTTTCAGATAAAGAATTGAAAGTCCTCAAAAAGGTTTTAAACCATTGAGACAGTAACATACACAAGATTTTCCATGTGTTTGTTATCATAGATTGCTGTGGTTAGCATCCTTATAAGACAGTGATCCAAAGGTTTATATGACTTATTCAAAATTCTGATCTATTTATTACCTTTTGCAACAAAGTCTGGAAGAAAACAATTACTAAAATAAATACTAAAAATAAGCATATAATCCAAAAGGTTGGAGGAACTGACACTAACACAAACAGGGGAAAGCTAATAAGATAAATGGAGTTTCAATTTTTAATAATTTCAGAAAGAAAAGAAATATCTTCTCCAGTGATTACTGGATGGGATTAAAAGCAGCATAAGAGAAGGAATTTCCAAACCTCACTTGAAAAATCTCCTGAATGGCAACATAAAAGTTTTATGCTATCAGGGCAGACAAGCTATTTTGTGTCTCTGTGTGTTTGTTTGTTTGTATGTTTGTGTGTGTGTGTGTGTGTGTTTGTGTGTGTGTGACTGAAAAGGGATGAGCAAGGGAAGACACTAACAATTCCAGAAGGAGTGCTTTAGGTATTGAAAGAGTGGGAATTGGTTGTTCCTTCTCCATCTACTTCCTTCTCATGGGAACCTATTTCCCTTTCATTCCAGTAGCTACCATACCTACAACTACAAAGAGTTGGAAAATCAGTAAGAGATATTTTGTGTTTAAGTCCATGCACGAATAATTCAGAGACACCACTTCTTGAGATAAGCCATAGATCATCCCAGAGTTGTAATCCTTTTTCGTGTTTCTAAAGCACAATCCTTTATTCTGCTCCAAAAAAGGATCTTCTACAGCATGGGTGGGGAACTATGGCCCTTTTATGACTTGTGGACTTCATGCTGGCTCAGGAATTCTGGGAGTTGAAGTCCACAAGTCATAAAGGGGCCATAGTTCCCCACCTCTGTTCTTCAGTGTGAGAAGAAACCAACAATCTGAATAAGTCACATTCCAAGCTAATGCAGAGAAACTATAGTATACTCACGGCTCCACAATGAATAGGAAAGGCGACAGTTTACTTGTCGATAAAACTGCTTGTTTATAGGCCAGAGGATTAACGTGCATAGTTGGATGAAGTTAATGATGAAGCCACTCACAACAAAGACAAATCCGATCAGGAGGTGAACTATAAACTGGGTCTTCAGAAATGCAAGAGTGCCCATGATAGTCCCTTATTAGCGTTTGCAAGGTCCTTCACTCAGAATAACAATCCTAAAAAAAGGAAAGAAAAATATTGCTTATCAAATTAAAATGTTTGTAATCTAGGGAGTAAGTGGGGGGGGGGGGAAGACAGAGAGCTCTTCTAATAGCAGCTCGGGAACCATAAAAGACATTTTTCTCACTGGGCCGATTCCATTCAGGGTCTCTCTGGCTGTGGGTCAAGAATTGGTTAGCATTCTGTATTAGTTTCATTTCCAAGCAATAGTAATAGGAGCTCTTGCTATTAAATGACAATCCAGTTGTAATATACTTTATAGCAAAATAGTTTTCCAAAAGTCCTAGCCTCTAAAAAAATATACAGGACTGGCCTAATTTCAAGGACATTTTGGCTTTTGCCCTGCACTGAAATACTAATTTCAGTTCCTTAAAAAGGAATGGACTATCAGCAGTTCTTCCTTAGCCCCAGACAGAGGAGTCCCAAACATACATAGAAAGACTCTGGCAACATGTACTTTCTATCACTGCCTTCATCTTATCTCCAGCTTATGAGTGGACCAGTCTTAAGTTATCTCTGGTTTGTATTCTATTCCAGCACCTTTCAAGGGCCATCTCATAGCATGTAAAATCTATGAGTTATGTCATACTTGGTAGTGGACAACCATTTGTCTGAAATGGTGTAGGGTTTCCTGCCTGAGCAGGGGGTTGGACTAGATGACCTCCAAGGTCCCTTCCAACTTTTATTATTATTATTATTATTATTATTATTATTATTATTATTATTATTATTATTATTATTATTATTATTATTATTATTATTATTATTATTAAACAGAGAAAGAATAGATCAACAGAAATGTGTGGTCAGCATATTTCATGTGAGTGTAGTCTTCTTCTGACTCAAGTACAAGTGGATAGCAATTTCTTGGAATAAGGGGAGTAAGGAAAAAATGAGTATAGGCTTAATGGGTAATGCCTTGGCACATTTCTTCTTCCCAAGCAACCTTTTTTTCAAAACTGAATGATACCTAAAGAAAAATGACCTCAGTCAACAGGAAGGCTTCATATCTTAGTTGATTAGAACTAAATATAACCTACACTTGGAATAACATTATGAACCAAGGTAATCCAGTTTCTGAGTCAAGAAAAATTAAATCCTGTGAGAGTTCACATATTTTTAAACAGACTGGAGTCTGCCCCTCCCAAAAAAGTATACATATTAATAATTCTGCATTACTCCCAAAAAATTCCCTGCTGGTTTTGTTGCAAAAATCTAACCATCCCTCTGGAGAGTATACTTTTCTTGGGTTGCAGAAGCCAAAAAGAAAGAAGTAACCATTTTATTTGTATCAGAGAGCTAATCCAGCGAGCAGAGTCCTTAACATGTTTCGTTATTCCAGAAATAAGATTTGACATTTCAAATACTAATATAACATCACTGCTGGGTGGCATTTTTTTCATAGGACAGAATCTGTTAGCTTAAAAGTATTTCCATTAATGTCAACACTGCTCAAATTAAATTATGATAGAAATCTAAAAGCTTGTAACCATACATTAAGATTTAATTTTTGAGCACTTTTAAGGATTAGAGCTCATGAAGCAGGAACCAACAGTATACAGGTTCAGTCAGAATCACTGTAAAGTATAAACTTGGAACAGATGCTTTTGACTCTTAAGTCTGAGGAAAAACCCACTTTCTGGAGAGGATGGGAGAAATAAGACTTAAGATTTAAACCTCCTGTCTATCTTCTGTGTTCTGCAGAGAACTTGGCTTATAATACAGACTGCAGCTCTCATAATCCCTTATGATTGGTCACACTGGCTATTAAGGCTGCTAAAAGCTAAAATCTGGCACATCTGGGCAATTATAGCTTCTTCATTTCCATCTATATAGACCAGTGGTTCTCAACCTTTTTAATGCCGCGACCCCCAACTGGTCGTAAGTCGAGGACTAAACCGGTCGTAAGTTGAGGACTAAACCGGTCGTAAGTCGAGGACTAAACCGGTCGTAAGTCAAGGACTACCCAACCAGTCGTAAGTCGAGGACTTTCCCTGCCCGGGAGCGCCGCGCATGTGTGGTTCCGCCCCCTGCGCCGGCCGAGGCGTAGCTGGCAAGCGGCAGAGACGGAGCAGGCCGACCACCAGCTGGCCCAGCTCAAGGGATGTAAGGCACCCACCGGAAAAGGGGAAAAAAATGGCGGGCAGCCTTGCTTGGCGACCCCCGTGAAATGGTCGATCGACCCCAAATGGGGTCTACTCTCCAGACTTTTTTCTTATTGACAATTGCTAAGTATGGGCTGCTATATGGCAACTGCTTATCTTTAGAATTCTAAAGTCCTGGCACACTTTATCTTATTCATTTTCTATTATTTTGTCTATTTTGTGGCCCCACCAATTCTTGCTTGCAGGCAAATAGTTTTTCTAGCAGATATTCAAATGTATCATTGCTGCTATGTTGTCATGCCATTGTATGGAATCAGTCTGCACAATCTTCTTGCAGCAGTTAACCAGGTGGTTCACTGTCTTCTCAATTCTGGCTTTGTACGCATTTGTTTTTAAAGTTTGGGCTTTTGCAGCCAGAATTAGCCCCTCTGCCTCCTCCTTCAATTTTCCTGCTCTTAGCCATTGCCAAGTCTTGTTATTTGTTTGCCTATTTTTTTCAACATACTGGCCATATAATACAGTACTTTGCCTTGTCATGTCTCTTTTCTATTCTTTATTTAGCTTTTCTTGTCGGTCAGTTTGGCCGCTCCAATATTCAGTAAGCATTCATGGTGAACTACCTTCAGTATATCTTCTTCATTGTCCTTCAGATATTCCAATGCCCATTTTTCTTCTTCAGATTTCTGGTATACTTGCCTCAATGGTATTTCCTCCCCTGAATTTGGACTTTAAAATATTCTTCATTCTTTTAATCTTCTTGACTTCAATGTCCTTGAGGAGGTCAGCTTGAAGGATGCCCAGGTATCTGTAGTGATCGTCTTCATCCAGATTCTTAATATTATTTCCATAAGGCATCTTGATTCCTTCAGTTTTTACTATTTTTCCATGTCGATATACATGCTGTGCAGCTATTATTATTTTAAAGTGTTAAATACTATGAAATAATACAGCTAAAAAAGAAACAATGGATGAAGGAATGATAATGGAGCCATCTTACTAGTTCACCAATTCCCTGCGGTACCCAGGCCTGATGGAACAATCAGTTCTTGTGGGATCTTCAGAAAGTCAAGAGCAATGGTGCAAGCCTCACTTCAAGGGGGAGGACATTCCACACCAAGGTTGCCACAGCTGAGAAGGCCCACCTAAATCCTGCCAAATATATAGTAGCTCCCTAAATGTCCTCTCTACTCAATCTGATAGAGTGGGCAAATGTAACTGGAGAGAAGCCACTGCTCAGATAATCTGGTACCATGCCATATAGGGCTCCCACAGAAGAAATGTAATGTGTGCTCTACAAGAAACTTAATTGCCTGAATCATTGCATTTGGCACCAACTAAAGTTCCCAGATACTCTTCAAGGGAAGCCCAATGTACAGTGTGTTACTGGAAGTGTCCAACTAGGACATGACTAGAGCATGGGTGATGGTAAGAGATCCTCAGACCATAAGAGACTGTAAGAGACCATCTAGGAATGGGTGCAACTGGCGCACAATATGAAGTTATACGAAGGCCCTCCTAGCCACGATTGCTACCTGCCCATTGAGCAGAAATCAAGAGTCCAGGAGGACCTCCAGATTCTGCAGGGGGGGACTGATTAGGACAGTATAACTCCATTCAGCATCAAAAATGGTTAACTGCAGAATGGAAGGATCCCAAACCCAAAGCCATTTAGTCTTTCCAGAGTTCAGATCCCCATTCAGACTCTTATAGCCTCCAGACATTGGGATAAGATGTCCACAACAATACTTAAGTTTGTCAGGGGCAGGGATGTACAACTGGGTATCATCAGCATATTGATGACACACATCCCATGGCAATGGATGAGTTCACACCTAGCAGGCTCATGTAAATGAGGAGAAAAGAGAAGAAAGCACTGATCACCCCATACAGTACACCCTAAGGATAGGACTTCTTCTCCCTAATCCATACCAATGGGAATTGACCCTGAAGAAAGGAGGTGAGCCAGCAGAACACCATGCTGCACAGTCCGAGTCCTCTGAGTCAATCCAGAAGGATACCATGATTGAAGGTATCAAAAGCCACTGAGACATCAAGTAAGGCAAGGATGAACACATAATTCCCATCCTGCCCATGCCAGGAATCATGCAGAAGCGTGATCAATGCCAAGCCCATCCCATACCCTGGTCTGAACCCTGACTGAAAAAGCATCCAGATAATCCATTACCTCCAAGGTCATCTGGAATCTTCTCAATCCCCTTCTTCAAAAATAGGAGGTGAGGTACCAGATGAAAATTATCAAGTATCATGGGATCCAGCAATGTTACAAAGTTACTTAGTACGTGGTATTGTCTTTAAGCAGATAAATTCACTCTGCTATTGTTATGTTCTGTAAATGAGAAGGACAACAAGTTGATAATGACACCTAGTCGGAGGAAAGGTCCATATACCCGAGGGTGGCTTTAAAAGTTGTCAAGGTGATTTTCAAAGACAAATCACAAACATATCTTTACTAATTATCTACAATAGGTTATTGTTTATATGAAAACATTCATGATGCAAATTTCACTTCCAATAGCCATAGGACTAATGCAGATGAACCATGGAGCACAGAAGCAGTGATTAAACTATACCAATTTATGAGGGCAAAGTTCTCTGCTTCCAAACAAGTAAGAAGGTGAAAATCTCCCCAAAACTTTCATTTCTATTAAAAAGTGGAGTTTTCAAAAGATTGCCTTTGCTTTTTGACTCTACCTAAACCATTTGTACATCATTTTCCTGTGTTTCTATGGTGAGCAGATAGAAATAGGATATATAATCACTGCAGACAAAACATGAAGTTACCAGAGATCTCACACAGGATGACTAAGACTAAAATTATACTATGCAAAATACTGGAATGTACAGCCTATCATCTTATGCTGCCATTTTTT